AACCAAATTTATTTTTAGTTATTTAATTTTTACTTGTTTTTAATCCCCTGTGTGTTCATTCTTGACCCAGCATTTGAATAATTTATTACACCTTTTGCTTATTGTTAGTGCTAGAATTAGAATTGAAATATTTAATTTCATTTAAAAGTGCATAAATTTGTAGTCCGTCATCTTTTGAAAATGTCACTTCAAAGTGGTATCCTGAAATAAAACATCACTGCCCTGATGCACCTATAATACTTGTTGGTAAGTACTCAAATGAAATAATTTAAATTATTTAAAAAATAATTTAAATTAATAAATTAAATTTTATTGGAATTTCATTCAAATGGTTTTTAGGTACCAAAATAGATTTAAGAGACGATAGAGAAACCTTAAGTTCTCTAGCAGAACAAAATTTATCACCTATGAAACGTGAACAAGGCCAAAAATTAGCTAATAAGGTTCGTGCTGTAAAATATATGGAATGTTCAGCTCTCACACAAAGAGGTTTGAAACAAGTCTTTGATGAGGCTGTTAGAGCCGTCCTCAGACCAGAGCCTCAGAAAAGACGTCAAAGGAAATGTATAATGCTTTAAAAGTTTTATTTTATATGAAAGTGTTGAGATCTGCAAAAAATGACTACCTAGAAATATTATCACTAAATTATTTATACATTGAATAAGGTTTATATAATTGTCACTGCATTTTCATTACCAGTTTAGTTCATTTTTATCTTATAAATTTAGTTCATTTTTATCTTATAAATTATACATTATGTATATATTTTAAATTTCATATAATTTTGTATGTGCCACAATTTTCAGTAAATGACAGTTTGTGAATGATAAATGCCCAAACCAATTATGATGAATTTAAATTATTATAGCTCTGATTTTAAATTGATTTCACAAGCATGTATTAAACATTGTATTTGTAGCTTGTACTAATCATGTAGATATTGATTTATATACTAAAATTTATTAAATAAAGGCTATTTTATTTATACAAAATCTAACAATTTCATAAGTCATATGTAACTTTATTATCTAAAAATGATTTCAAATGCTATTATTACATTATGCGGGAGCAACTTTTTTTGTTTTTTTTTTTGGGTGATGGTGTTTTGTTTTTGAATAGGTTTTTTATTTTTGAGTACTCACGGCTAATATTTTTTTTTATGAAATGTTTCAAGAATTATAACTTTTTAAACACAAGTTATAAGCGCATTCTTTTTGTGTGCAAAGCATAAATATTATCTTTGTACTGTTTTTGTTTTCAACTTACTAAAGTGAAATTAGAAGGAATGCAAAAGCACTAACTACAAGACTTAAAATTAGTGAATTGATGATTCTCTAATTTTTAGTTTTGGATGAATGTGTTCATGTTTCTCCTATATCCAAATGCACATTAAAATAAACATTTTTTTCTTAAATAATACAAGTTTATCTTTTTAGTACAGATTATATTTAACAATAAATGATAACAAACATTCGCGGCAAAGTGAATATCATATATTTCATGTAAAATTGAGATCTTAAATATTATGGCTTATTGTGTACTTCTTATTAAATAGTTTGATCTTTTGTATAAAAGTTGTGGGGTATTTGGAAGGAATAAGTTCAAATTACGGTACAGATTACTCTTTTCCAGATTTTGTTTTTATGTTGTGTTATGTTATTGGACATTTGGTGCACCACCTATGTTAATATCGCACATAACTTTACAAGAAATATAAGATATATACAACACATAAATTATAACTTGGTAAATACTTCAGCATTTTTATTAATAGAGCCAATGTGCACATTTCTTGCTCTCTTGTATTGCTAAGAATTGCAAAAATAATTGTATAATACGGACATTTGATTTACTGATCAGCTGGTTTATGTTATAAACCATAGCCAGAAGTTTCAGAAGAAATTGTATCTTCGTTGACATGCTTACAGCATGATATACGTGATCGGGTTTATTTGCAACTCAAACCCAATTTATCTTAACATAACTTTAAATTTGACTGATCTTGGATAAGAATTTTAAATATTAACGTCATTTTTCAGTTGTCATATTTAGAACTACATAGCATTATTCATTTGTTGTATAAATGACCGTTTAAATGAATTTTTTTCCACCACTTGTTCAATCGGCAATTGTTATATTGCAAATCCTCATCTTACTACAAGTCTCTCCTATTTTTCATTAAAAATTTATAATTACTAAAACGTTAATGTATATAATATCCATTTATACGTTTATTATAAAACAACAATGGCCTATTGTTATAATACACAATAATATTTTACAAGTAAAAACAAATTTTGCAAATGTTAATAAATATTATGATGGTTCTTTATGTGATTACATTGAAAAATACAGAAATATGTAAATTGGTAATATGAATACATTCATAACAACCACTATAGTGGTTTACAAAAATTAAGCAGAATGTTGGAAATGAGTTTATTACTTATTATATTATTTAAACAATTTATTTTATAACATACTTCTTGATGATTTATTGTGATACTTTTTATTGTAATATGAGTTGCAAATGCCAGCAATTTTTAACAATTTTCTATCAAATTAATGATTAACATCGTTTTAGTGTATAATATACCATAATTTTTGAAATATATACATATATATATATATATATATATATATAAATTATTAAATACAAGCATCAATATATTTATTAAACATATAATCTACATATTCATAATAAATATTATTAAATTTTTCAACTATTTTAAAAATCTAGCTATTTAGTCTGCTTGTAAATAAATATTCAGCTTAAAAATCGCAGCCAATAAAAGATAATTTGTAATTTAAATAAATTATTTTATGTATTTAAAAATTTAATAATGATAAATTTGTAATGCTAATAATATAAATATTTCATATAAATTTACTTATACTAATATAATATTCGCTTACACAATGCTATTTGGTATATGTGTATTGACAACTTATCATAAATGGATATTTAATTTGAATTATCAATTTTATACTGATAAGACTGGTTGGCAGTAATAAATTGGCGATCTGTGCTAAAATGCAATTAAGAAAAATGTATACGATTTAAAAATTTCACTCACAAAGTTAAGTTCACTTCGTCATACGAATCTACGGTTGCGTTAAACGTGTCAGAAATATTGACTATTGATTATAAATGTTGATTGTTGAACTTTTAGCAATGTATTTGCTTTTAATTTATATTTCAATTTATGCGATTTTTCTAATAAGGAAAAACTTGCAACATCTTCGTGTATACAGCTTTGTGCAATTTTAATTGTTTCATATGATATATGAACTTTTATTGCGTTATTTTTTTAAAACAAATTTATTGTAATTTATTATATTTGGACTATTTTTATTTAAGACGAAGTATTTTCGTATAGTTCTAATGCATTTTAACCTGATTTGATGAGTATAATTTAACAAGAGTTTTAATTAATAAACATTGAAATAATTTCCTTTTCAAAAACAAAAATGCTTAGAAAAATTTAATTTTTCTATTTATAGCATTTAACTATGTTGGTTCGAATTAATTTTGGCGTATGCTACGGAAACTTTAAAGTTATCTTGGATAAAATGTGCATTGTAAATGTACACAAATTCATATAAACAAAATCATTTAGAATGAACTGGTATGAACTCCTTACATTGGTTATTTCCTAATAATAAAATTTCTGATAATTTATCTCGTTTATCAATAATCTGGATATAAATGTTTATCAAAAGTTAACGTTCTTCATTGTCTTAACCCTGTCGCGACGAGCGTCGCTTATGGGCGACATCCAAGATTATGATGGTCAACCCTTGCATCGCGATATATCACTCCGAGTGATATGATTGAGAATTCTAATTTGTTATTGTAATTCTTCAGAAGCGCAATTTTTAATTTCTAAATATAAATGATTGATAAATCTCAAAATATGTTGATGTGCCTGATTCGTTCAGTAGCGCTACTGAACGGTTTGCTGGCCCGTACAGCAGTATCTCTCCGGTAACGAAAGGGTTAACTAGGATATACCATCAGAACTTTTACCATTCGAAAAAGTCCAAAATAACTACTATTATTATCGCATATGAACTGACACTGGATGAGCCCCACATACTTCTGCACGCACTCCACCTAGGCCTTTGGAACTGAATATTTTCCTAGCTGCATAGGTTATTAATTATAAACATTATCTACAAAATTTCTATCTACTGGATTTCTATGAAGTGGATACTGGGTGTTACAAACTTATTATCTATTGATTTTGTAATAATAATTATTTTTTATTATTATAACTAGCTATATTACTAATAAAGGCATTCCAATGATGACAGTAATTGTGGAGAAGTTAGAAAATAACCATTGTATTGTATTTTGCCTGACATTAAAGTCTGCATAAACATATGTGCAAATGGGGCCCCATCGGTAATTGAGTGCGATTTTTTTTTTAAGAAATTAGGATATTACACAAAGTCGCTCACACAAAACAGCAAGATTTACTTTTACAATACTAATATTGATTTTGTATTACGTGGTTACAATATATTTGTTTTTTAATTCGTAATAATATTTTATCTAATAAAATATAATTATTCATTAACCCTGTTATCGAACGTTATCAAAATAATGGAATAATTTAATTTATATATATAAATATAATTTTTGCGCATCAAACTACGATCAGTGATGGTATAGCTGTTCCAGATTTATTATAATTTATACTGTGCCAATTTGGCATGTCGTTTACCGGCAAAGGATGATATTTTGTTTGAAAATAAAAGTCTAATAATTAATAAATAAAATTAAAAATTTTGTTAATAAATAAAAGTATATAAAAAAGTGAATTTTTCATATTGATGAATGTTAAATAAGGGAGAGGACAATACATCCTAATTTAAATGCCTTACATATAGTATATAAATATGGGGTATATATTTTTAATAATTATATTGTTTAATAAAATCTTCCAATTAAATATAATGTGTGAACAATTTCAATTCGAATGTCGTAGTCACCCAACTTTCCGACCAGCACAGTATAAATACATTCTGATTACAATTTATACCTTCATAAAAACATGATTATGTTATAACATTTCAAATTTATTTAGTTTAACCCAAGGGGCCCAGAAATACCAGTCAAGAATATATTAACGTAAACCGTTTACGGTTTAGTAAATTCAATGCCTATCTAATAAAACTTATTATAAAAAATAATGGGCTTGAATCTAGTCGCTAGTTGCTTAAACATCGTCGTCTTTGGAATCCTTTCCCCAGAATTTGTCAAAACGCGTTCTTGCTTTTTCCAACACTTCAGATGCAAGAGAACGTCCAGTGCCTGGTGACACCACGCTCTCCACAGCATCTGGTTTTGCTGTAACTGGTGCTGTATCACCTAATTATTTATTAATAAACTTTTCTCATTAAAATGTTTATGCTGTTTATTCTACACACCTTTGGTAACATGCTGGAGGCTCAGTGTTTTTCGTCAAGTGATCAAGTTTTTGCTCTTACCATCAATTTACCTGTTACCTTCAAATCAAAAATTTTGAAAGTGATCTATTCATTTTGGCTTATTACTGTCCTGATAAACAATAGCCGTTTTGGAGTTTTTAATACAATACCAAAGATTTTTTAAATTTCGGCCTAAAAGATGAATCAAATAGAGGAATCCGAAAAGTACGTCCATATTCATACGTGGTCATTGTGTATGTGTAAAATAAGTTTTTGTGGCTAATACAAGATAGCTCTGATTTTCAATTTTCTAAGTTCAATATTTCACTCAGAATGATTTACGGAATATATTTCCCTTGAATTTACTTCACTTGTTTCCAACAGACCTGATACACCGTTCGAAAAACATTGTCAGGATGAATAAATGATGTACTTATATGCCAAAAATAATTAACAAAAGGTTTGAAAATGCATGCTTGGTTGGGCTAAAGCATAAAAACATGCACAGCGTTTAAAATTTTGAAAAAATCTCTTACTAGTCGAATAAATTTTATAGAATTTCATGAGAATGGTTTGGTAGGCAATTTAAATTTGAACAAATAAAAAACATATAGTATAATATTTTTATTAAATAAAAAGTATTTTATTTACATTTAATAAATTATAAAAAAATGTATACCAATTATTTCAACATATAAATTGATGTGGGCAATATTTTTATGAATTTATACCTAGCTTAAACATTGAACAATAACTTATCATATTAAAATTAAGCATGAAGATATAAAAATAGAAATGGAATAGAACCGCAATGTAACGGAAAAGAAAATCTCATTTATGGTAGTCGATATGGTTGATGAAGATTTTGGAAATTTAACTGATCGAGGATATCAATCAGATTTATAATTTATACTTAATGTTGTCCATTTCATAATCATTGTTGGTGAAAAGTGTGGAAATTGTATAAAGTAAAATTCGACAACGCTGTCGGTTCTCATAATCATTCTCAGAAAATAATTACATATTCAGATTTGATGATTCTGAATGTAGTATTTTTACTTCGAATTTGAAATTTTGAAATAACTTCCGTTTCATTTCGGTTCTTATCTAAACATTCAAGCAAACAATTAGAACGTTCATTTATGATTATAAACTATCAAATGTTTAACTTTTTATATAAAGATAATTTTCAATTTCGAATAGATTCATAATTATTAAAACTATTGTTATCATTATAAATAGACATATTTTTATTAATGTATATTTATTTCCTCACAAATTCAACTGCAAAGGAACGCTATTTCTCTACATTATAAATAGGGTGTCAGCTAGTGCAACATTTATGTCCACTTAGATCGTACGAAAGAAATTTCATTATTTCTGAAGTTTATCTATCGGGCAAAAATTCTATATTAACTATATCAATACGTCTTACAGACTGTGTATAAAAATAATAAACTAATCCTATGAACTTAGGTATAACTGAAAATCTTATAAAATACTTAAAACAAAATTTTTATAGCTTAAAAAAAAACGCGATCACGTGTACGGTATTTGATTTTTGCTGAATCTCAGACTTGGCTTACGAAGAAATTAATTTCTGCGATTGATCGTATAAGGATAATTCGATCGTAACCAAAAAAAAAAACAAATAATAATATGATTACAAAGCGCTTTTATTTTCTCCCTGTATCATTTGTTATAAATATCTATATTTTTAAATAAACCAAATATTTTCTAAAAAATGGTAACGTCAAATTTTTATCTTGGATATTATATTCAACAGTTTTTGTATTTTGTTTTGAGTTAAATCTTTCAAATCAATCGGATTTAATATCGGCACTTCAAAATCGTATCAGAGCTGAGAAAAACAGTTTGGGTAATTTTACGATTGGTTTATAACTAGATAATGATATTTGATCATCTAAGACTGGTCGTGTTGTATGGCCAGTTCAACAAATTACGTATGTTCAAAAAAATAAGTATAAAACATTATATTTGCCCCGGATATTCTGATAAGCGAAAGTCAGCTGACGACTGAAGGATAATTATTAGAAAGTGACATAAAAAGTTGGAAAACATTTATAACAAAAAAATGAGTATATGTTGATGACGTCGATGGAAACATCGAATGGATTTGTATCTTATAGGAACTTAACATTTCAGACACTACCATCGTAGAAACATACTGGTTACATGAATGCCATCGCTGTTCAAGCGGCAATGTATTTTTGCATTGTTAAAAAATATGAAAAAACTAAACGATCGATGCTATTAGCAAGCAGCTTCAGTAGGGCCACCCACCTCGGTTGTCCGTTGAGTTGCCATTAACTAGTTCGTCCCTGTGCGAAGACGTAGCCGATTGGGGGGCGCTGGGCGGCAGATCTCGGGGGCTACGAGCCTTTATTTCGCTTTGAGGACGTGGTGTTGGCGTGCTCACTGCATCGCCTCCTAAGAAGTAATAACGATTAATCATTTAGAAAAGGCTTTTCATTTTACATACATGTACCTATTTTTTGGTTGCTTTAAGGGGTTACACCACTGTAAAGTTTTCGAAAAACCAAAAAAAAAAATTTAGGCTTAAAATATATATTGAACCTTTTAGAATATGAGGAAAATATTTCATACCTAAAACTTTTTTTTTACTTGTAAATATGAGCTTTTTCCACGCGCGTCGGGCTGCTTCGAACCGACACCGCTCAAATACATTAACAAACTAGCTGTAAGTGGAATTCTGTCTTAAGGCAATTAGGGCATCGTGCCTTAAGGCAAATTGCTGGAACTTCCCGTACCAAAAATTATTTTTTTTTTTAAAAACGATTAAAATTGAAAAATTGAAAAAAATCTACTTCGAAAAAATAAGATTTTTGAGAAACTATAAATTGGACAAAACATTACTTTTTTTTGAAAAAAAAATTTTTTTAAAAAAAATTAAAAAAAAAATTTTTTTTTAATTTTTTTTTTTAAATGTTTTCTTTATTTTGACATATTTTGGAAGATCTGAACTTGTTTCTCAGAGCAATCGTACTGCTTTAACTGCATAGAGACGAAATATAAAGCGCGTAAGCGCGGCGTCGCTGTCTAACGGGTAAACATTGATACGGAACCCATAGGAAAATAAACAAAATTTATACTTATTGTTAAAATCTCTATAAAATATCTGAAAATTTGATGTGCATATGTCTAATGATCATTTTTGACCGCCAAATGACATTTTTTTTTACTTTTTTCGTTATATCTCCGAAACCGCTAGACCTGCCTTTATGAAAATTTGATCAATTCTTCATCTTGTCAATACAAGTAAAATGTTTTTTGAATTATTAAAATCGGACGCTCCGTTCTCTTAAAAACTGAGTTACCGTTTTCGGCACTTTTTGCCCCGTATCTCCGGAACGGCTAGACCTGCCTTCGCCAAAAACTAATCAGCACGTCTCCTTATCAATACGAATCGAATGTTTTTTGAATTATTCAAATCGGTTGATCCGTGTTCCCGAAATCGTCGACGAAAATTTGTATCCGCACATACATACACACACGCACACACACACACACACACACACACACACACACACACACACACACACACACACACACACACACACACACACACACACACATACATCCATTTTTTCTAAGGTATGCCAAAATATTCAGAAATCTCTGAAACGTAAAGATATATAAAAATTTTCATTTTCGATTTTTTTGCGATTACTATAACTTACCCTACGGGAAGTTAAAAACATTATAAAGCAAAATGACAACATGTATGTTTTTGAATATATTATTATATGTTATTATTAACTATTAATATTCTATAAATAAACTGCAAAGGCATTTTTAACCAATAGATGATCAGTGCAGAGCAAAAAACATATAAGCATCGACCATATTGCGGCTGATATTGCTGGGGTCAGTTTCAACGATGGTCTAATCAATATTTTATAAATGATAATAGTTTTGGAGATTAATATTGGCATCTAAACAAGTAATTTTTGTCTTAAAGTAGATTATAAACGGCTTAAACATGTCGAACGGTCTTTGACGGATGCGCCAAAAGTAGGACGCTCTGATATAAAATCAAAAGAAGAAAATAAAAATAAAAGGGCATCTGTATGTTGATGGGATATCAGATTAATAGTAAAACTAGTGGGGCGCATGGCATCGTGCCTTAAGGGAATTTGCTGGAACTTTCCCGTACCAAAAATTATTTTTTTTTTAAAAGATTAACATTTTTGAAAAAAATTTACTCTGAAAAATTAGATTTTTGAGAAACTATACATTTTTGACAAAATTTTACTTTTTTTTGAAAAAAATACTTTTTGAAGAAAAGTGTATTTTGAAATATTTTGGAAATTCTGAACTTTTTTTCAAAGCAATCGTACTGCTTTAACTGCATAGAGACGAAATATCGAAGCTCGTAAGCGCCGCGCCGCCCACTACCGGAAAGCATTGGTACGGAACCCATAGGAATGTAAACAAAATTTATACTTCTTGTTAAAATCTCTATAAAATATCTGATAATTTGATGTGCATATGTCTAATGATCATTTTTGACCGTCAGATGGCATTTTATTTTACTTTTTTTTTACTAGATCTCCGAAACCGCTAGACCTGCCTTCATGAAAATTTGATCAGTTCTTTATCCGGTTAATATAAGTAAAATGTTTTTTGAATTATTAAATTGGACGCTCCGTTCTCTTAAAAACAGAGTTACCGTTTTTGACACTTTTTGCCTCATATCTTCGGAACGGCTAGACCTGCCTTCACCAAAAACTAATCAGCACGTCTCTTTATCAATACGAATCGAATGTTTTTTGAATTATTCAAATCGCTTCATCCGTGTTCCCGAAATCGTCGACGAAAATTCGTATCCAAACACATACACATACACGCACACACACATACACACACACATACATCCATTTTTTCTAAGATATGCCAAAATGTTCAGAAAGTTTTGAAACGTAAAGATATATAAAAATTTTCATTTTCGATTTTTTTAACTTCCCGTAGGGTAAGTTATAGTAATCGCAAAAAAATCGAAAATGAAAATTTTTATATATCTTTACGTTTCAGAGGTTTCTGAACATTTTGGCATACCTTAGAAAAAATGGATGTATGTGTGTGTGTGTGTGTGTGTGTGTGTGTGTGTGTGTATGTACGTGTGTGTATGTATGTGCGGATACAAATTTTCGTCGACGATTTCGGGAACACGGATCAACCGATTTGAATAATTTAAAAAACATTCGATTCGTATTGATAAGGAGACGTGCTGATTAGTTTTTGGCGAAGACAGGTCTAGCCGTTCCGAAGATACGGGGCAAAAAGTGCCGAAAACGGTAACTCAGTTTTTAAGAGAACGGAGCGTCCGATTTGAATAATTCAAAAAACGTTTCACTTGTATTGACAAGATGAAAAATCGATGAAATTTTCATGAAGGTAGGTCTAGCGGTTTCGGAGATATGGAGGAAAAAGTAAAAAAATGAGCCATCTAGCGGTCAAAAATGATCATTAGACATATGCACATCAAATTATCAGATATTTTATAGAGATTTTAACAATAAGTATACATTTTGTTAACATTCCTATGAGTTCCGTACCAATGCTTATGCGTTAGACAGCGAAGCGGCGCTTACGCGCTTTATATTTTGTCCCTATGCAGTTAAAGCAGTACGATTGCTTTGAAAAAAAAGTTCAGATCTTCCACAATATGTCAAAATAAAGAAAAAATTTTTTTTTTCAAAAAAAAAAAATTAAAAAAAAAACTTTTTTTTCAAAAAAAAGTAATTTTTTGTCCAATTTATAGTTTCTCAAAAATCTTATTTTTTCAAAGTAAATTTTTTTCAAAAATGTTAATCGTTTTTAAAAAAACAATAATTTTTGGTACGGGAAGTTCCAGCAATTTGCCTTAAGGCACGATGCCTTAATTGCCTTAAGACAGAATTCCACTTACAGCTAGTTGCGATTACTATAACTTACCCTACGGAAAGTTTAAAATATACGTTTTTTTTTTGGTTGCTACAGTGGTGTAACCCCTTAATGATCACATGGGAAATATAAGAAGAATTCGATTATACTTAGATACAATAATATCTATGTCAATGCTTGCAAATAATGTTTGGTATATTTTGGTACGATTTGATTGACTCGTTTTTTAGACTTGTACTTGGAATGTAGAGTTGAGTAAGATTTTAGTTTTGAAGAGTTTTCTATTTCACCTTCTCGTACATTCTGCGTGACTGTAAAAGTCTTTCCTGTATCCAGCGGCACCGTCCAATTCACAGGATCGGGCGATCGCATTATAATTTGTTCCGGTGATTTAACCCGCGTTGGTTCCGGAGGTGACTTGACAATTTGCTCTCTGGGGGTCAACGCGCTGCCAGCACTCGAAGATACCGAGGCAGCATCGCGTTCTACTGATCCATCGTCTTCAACTAGAAACGAATAGTAATTATTATGATGAAAATATCGAACTGTTTCAGCTTTTTCGATTTTGCTACAACTGTTTGTAGACATTTGACGTCCAACAGGCATGGTGCAAGTCCATTTGCCCTAATGATAACGCTAACAACGATTACTGATGGTAATATGAACATATTCGGAATAATTTATATACATTATAATTAACGACAAATTGATACTTGAAACACTAAACACTTTCGGTGTATAAAGTTACTTCTAGAAAAATTATTCTAATTATTTGCTAATAATTGCTACTTGCACTATCCCTATAGCTTTCTACAAAATATAATGAAAAAGAGTATTCATAAAATAGAATATATATATAGTAATTAATGAATCTAGTGATTAAACTATTTTTAAGAAAATACATAGTTGTTATGGTTACTACATATATTTTTGTATCCTAAAGAAACAGAATTTTTGAGATATTTAAATTAAAACGATGAAAAATAAGCTCAAACCTCCAACATTGAGATTGATTTATATACTACTTAAATTGAGTACTAAATGAATATTATATAAAAATAAAACATGCGTCTTGTATAATATATGCGTAGCATTTTTTCTACATAATACAATTTAAAATATTGTTAGTGCCAAAGTAGTGCCACACAAACACCTCGTGTTTTTGAGAAACATTTCAGTTTTTTTAAAAAAACTAAAGTAATGTCTAATACTTCATTACACCCATGCAAATTGCTTTATTAGCAGCAGATTTCATGTAAAAATTTTAATTTGTTTGTATAAACATCGATGTTCAATTTTTTGAACAGATTCAGATCTTAACGTGTTAATGAAGCATATTTTGTTTTAAAATATATTGTCATATGTTCTATTAAACAAATCCATGTTTATAAGGCACGTAGGAAGGAACGTATATATATTTAAATATATTCATGCATACTAATTTAAATTAAATATTTGTACTATTTACTTAGTAGTAGTACTACTAAGTTATAGAATCTGTAACTTGGTATTAATTAAAGTAAGTATTGCAACATATATGTATATATACAATGTATATAGTTACATACATAGGGTGGTTCTTAATATGGGCATTTTCGAATTTCCTTGCTCCCAAGGGCTCAAATGGTTCCAAATTGATAAAAAACAATTCTCTGAAAGTTTTAGCTCTTAATATTGTCTTTTAGATAGAGCGCAATTCAATCAAAGTTTTGTATGGAAAGAGCATGAAAAAATTTTGCAGAGCGTCGAATTTTCAAAAAAAATGACACGAATTTTCACTTTTAATTCATTTGTCGCTAAGTTATATCTAAAATTTTTTTTTAAATTTTCAAAATTTTTTCCATGCTATTTCCATACAAAGTTTGATTGAATTGCGCTCTATCTAAAAGTTAATATTAAGAGCTAAAACTTTCAGAGAATTGTTTTTTATCAATTTGGAACCATTGCAGCAAGGAAATTCGATAATGTCTATATTAAGGACCACCCTAATATTCATATATATATATATATATTAGGGTGGTCCTTAATGAGGACATTTTCGAATTTCCTTGCTCCCAGAGGCTCAAATTGTTCCAAATTGATAAAAAACAATTCTCTGAAAGTTTTAGCTCTTAATATTAACGTTTAGATAGAGCGCAATTCAATCAAACTTCGTATGGAAAGAGCATGGAAAAAATTTTGAAAATTAAAAAAAATGTTTTAGGTATAACTTAGCGACAAATAAATAAGTTTTATTCATTCATTTGTTCGCTAAATTACATCTAAAAAACATTTTTAAAATTTTTGAAAATTTTTCCATGCTATTTCCATACAAAACTTCGATTGAATTGCGCTCTATCTAAACGTTAATATTAAGAGCTAAAACTTTCAGAGAATTGTTTTTTATCTATTTGAAACCATTTGAGCCCCTGGGAGCAAGGAAATTCGAAAATGACCATTTTAAGGACCACCCTAATATATATATATATATATATATATATATATATATATATATTACAAGTTTTTTTCACGTGTAATAATGCTTATTCATTATATAAGCATCTATATAAGAATTTCACGTGTAAATATTTCGTTTGTTTGTCATTATTTAAAATGACTATGTATTTGTGTTTGAATTACTTATTGGTCAATTTGAAAAATATACTTACATTCCAATTATTGCATTCCAATACACATAAAAATAAGTATAATATAATTGTTCAGACAATTAGCCCTTGTCTGTAAAAATATTCAAACGTGAGTTTGAACCTTCGTTTACTTATTGATAGTAAGTTAGATAGTAGAAAGATTTAGAAATTTAAGAAGAAGGATAGAAACATGCTTTTATAATAAGAATATCACATATTAAACATCCAGAGAATGACACATTGCATACGACATCTAGTAAATGAAAGATTTTGTAGTAACGAACATAGCCAAAAATACTTACATACATCCTTTTAAAACATAGATAGAAAAAACGTCGTCACTTTAAGTAAGTAACTTTTGAATATTCAGGACACAAAACTGTTGGAATAATTTGTCAACAACCACATACGGTTCGAAATAACTGAAGGCTGTCCTAAAATATTGACAAAAAAGTTCTGAAGTTTTTCAGTGTTTTACGAGAAAAATTAAGTAAATTTAGCTTAGAGCCACAATATCTATTTCGAACCACATATAAGTAACCACAAGATGAGAGGAAGGGATGTTTTGCTTGTCTTCGATGGTGATTGGTGGTTTTGGTGGTTGACGTGCTTGGGGTGTTATACTTACTTTCAAGTTTTGGCGTTTTGTCCTCGCCAATTTTGGTGCTTACGGGGCCCGTGGCAACAGGGCCGGCTGCAGGCGCCGATTTCGGCGTCGGCGTCGGCGCTTGTTTTGCCGACGACGGCGTTTTTGTTCGTGATTGTTGCTGCGCTTCCGCGTTTCGATTAACGACGGTTGAGGATGATGAGTGAGGTTTCGGGGGCACCGAACTACTTTTAGAACGGGACGGGACAGTGGTGGATAGGGAGGCTAGAAAACCGGAAATCTAAATTAATATTGATTATGGATTAAACAATGTATGAGTCGACGTTGAATGATTGATTGATTAATTTGAAATTTTTGATCGTGTTTAATTGTGATTCGTTTCCAGTTACTGTAAACGAAGAACTTTTCAAATGCCACATTATAGTGTTTTGATATATTTGCCAATTGAGTGATATTCTTATTATGTATATTGTTGGGTTACTTCATAAAAACTATAACCAGTTAAAATCTAAATAATGTAGTACTTTATTATTTGTTATAAATATTATAGTTAAGCAAAAGCAAATAAATGTTAAGGCTGAAAAATATTTGAAGCATAAAAATTACCTATATTTTACTATGAATTAAAAAGCTGTTACTGTTAGTACAATTACTTCTACTATTAGTCCAGTAATTTGGTGCAAAAAAAGGCTGTTTCCGGTACAGTACTCCGGGAATTCTGAAAATTGGTAATTTTATAGATTTCGAGGCGCTCTTTACGAAAATCAACTTTGCGACCTCAAATTTGAACGGCAAATTGCGTCAAACAACAGCTTTTTAAAAATATCTCCTTTCTGGCTGATTCTGCGATAAAAGTATCTATGTACGAATTAAACTAGAGAAAATTTCTTACAATTCTTCAGAAAACCGTTTTTTTTGTAAAATTGATAGTTTGAGAGTACGGCCGCCTCGAAGTCTTTGCTGCTCTCGCCGTGGTATCAAATCTCTCCACATCTGACAGCACTTCGAACATGACCACATTCTCTCTAATAATTAATATTTTCAAAGTTAAATTAAGCGAATAAGATCTAGAAATAAAATAATTCAAATATTTTTCGTTTTTTTTTTGCTACTTTATTAACACTTCAATGGCAAAGTAGCTATAAGTATACTTATAGCTTGAGTAGCACCTTATAGCTTCAAGTAGTTTGAAGCGTTAAAAAATCAGCAAAAAACAGAAAAATATTTGAATTATTTTATTTCTAGATCTTATTCGCTTAATTTAACATTGAAAATATTAATTGTTAGAGAGAATGTGGTCAAGTTCGAAGTGCTGTCATATGTGGAGAGATTTGATACTACGGCGAGAGCAGCAAAGACTTTGAGGCGGCCGTACTCTCAAACTATCAACTTTACAAAAAACGGTTTTCTAAAGAATTGTAGGAAATTTTCTCTAGTTTAATTCGTACATAGATACTTTTATCGTAGAAAGAGCCAGAAAGGAGATATTTTAAAAAAGCTGTTTTTTGACGCCATTTTTTTAATATGGCGGCAACTTGCCGTTCAAAGTTGAGGTGGCAAAGTTGATTTTCGTAAAGAGCACCTCGAAATCTATAAGATTACCAATTTTCAGAATTCCGGGAGTACTGTACCGGCAAAACGACCAAATGACTGGACTATATCGCCTGTAAGATACTTATTTTTATCTTGTATGATTGTTTCCCATAATAAGTGTTTTAAGGAATTGTTTCAACGTCTAATGATCTTATGTTTTGTGGTTGGTTTAGGATAGTCTTTATATTATTGTTAAACTGAATTAGAGAGTAGAGTGGAGGTTGAAACTTTTCCAGTTTGATCAGAATGTTGAAATGATAAAAGTCGAAAATTTATTGATCTGTAGTAAATATTTCAACTCACCTTTATCTCGATATTATGATATAATGAAATGTTTCTAAACGTTTAACTCATATTCAACATTAATTGGGCGATTTATGGGCAAATAGTCGCATGCATTATGACGAATAAAAATCATTCAGAATAGATTGATTTTCTAAGCTAATACATCGCAAGAACAATTTCGATAAACGTCCAAGTATAAATAATATAAAAAATTATTTTAAGTGAAGGAAATGTACTGAATGAAGCTCAACCTCCACAATCTACTTAATTTTATATTATCATTAAATTCACGACAAATAATCGAATATATAAAATAAATTTTGCCAAGAAGAACATTGATGATCCGGTGATGCACCAATTATTATTACTTGGACAATTAATAGTTTAATTGACGAAATTAGCATGAAGGGGGTATCACAACTAGCATGCTCCAGTCACCAAGTTTTTTATACTAGTTTGTGACATGCTAATATGACAATCATATTCTATTCTAACAAATCCTATTCCATAGAACAATTATTGAAAGAGAAAATATCTATAGGTCGATGTTATCTAATGTGAGTTAGTAAATGATTTCGTACTAGTACTAGTGTACATCAATTTTTCGATGCTACGGAAAGAACATGAAATGTCTATATTAAGAAACAATTATAAAAGTGCTTTACGGCGTGTTTAAATTCCATATATTATCTAAATAATAAATATTTCTGACCACCTTTAACACGAACTACTGAATATATATAATTTTCAAATATATATAATGCAACTAGACTGCCACCGTTATATGATTTCATTTAAAGATTAGCATCTTTCGCAGAAATAATTACGTATTAATATAATGAACTTACTATTATAACCGCCAAATTCTATTATAAAGTATAATATAATTATGCTCATGTGCTTCAGTCAAGGGAGTAAACAAATCAGAAGTTTGAAAATTTATTTAAATTGCTAAAACGGGTATTGTAAAATGTAGTTCACACCAATTTTTTTTACATCTTGGACTATTATAGCACTTAAATTTATTATATCATTTGAATTATTTGAAAAATTCAAACCAATACCCTTCTTCGTAACGTACGTAAACTAATGAGCTAAAATGGTGTGAAAATCATTAATGAATTGATATATAATTCAAATTCACGCAACGACACTTGAAATCGTTTTCATAGATATTTCCTTAGCAAAATTGGCGGTTCCCAAATAATTGTAACTTTCGAAAATGATAAGAATCTCTTGTGAATTTTAAAGAAACACCAGAATATAATCATTATTTAAACCATACTTGTTGTACAAAAACTCACTAGGTCTTGGTCTACGTTCAGCAGATACTGCCATTGTCGGGCTTTTCTTCTGTTTGGCGGCCGCCGAGGCGGTTGTGGCGGTCACCGTGCTTCCTGGTCGTGGGGTCCGTTTTGGCGATAAATTTTCGCTTTGTATTACTCCCGGACCCACCGAGTGCGAACGGCCTATTAATTAAAAAAAGTTAATTATATAATACATTTTCATTAAAATAAAATTCCCTTTCGATAAGGGATCGTTCAAGTATTACGTAAGCAGATTTATTACAATTATTTACACCTCCCCTCCCCTCCCCTTTGTCAGCAAAATTAAGCAAATTTCTTACCCAAAATAAGCAAAATAACCAAATCAATAATCCCCCCGCCCCCCCCATAGTGCTTACGTAATACTTGAACGGCCCCTAAGTGTTATAGACAATGTTATTTATATTGTGCAAACTTCGTGAAAAATAACATGGTCAGTTGAAAATTTTGACCAATGCCATATATAAGTATTGTTCTGAAAATTATTTTCTTTATATTTTTCTTGCGTCATTCGGTAAAATTTGTTCCTGTTTAGACACAATAATGAAATTGATACATATTTTAGACCAAAATTGTTTGTTCTAAGTCGAAATTTCTTTTCTAACTCTCTTTTACATCAAATCATCATATTGTTCTATACTTCTAATAAGATGACTACAAGTAATAAAAAGTAAAAGCTGTGTAAAAACAAATATTAAAATGTGTAAACCTAATAAAATTTTAATAAAAAATGTGTTTGCTAAATATAAAACTGTTCATGCCATGTATCGATTACAAGTGTTCGGTTTCCAGTAGAAACCACGCGCAAGTGTGCCTGTGTTATAAAATAAAAATGCAACTTATATTAATAACATGTTTTTGGAAATACAACCACGACCGCTTAATGATCGTGAATAAATAGATATAAAAGTTTATTCTGTTCACTTACATGCATCGATTTTATACACAATAAATTAGATTTCAGAAAGTCTAGAATAAAAAATGTTGCATTCATTGTACAAAAATAAAAACACAGTTTTAACAACACGGACACAGTAGGTGATACGCGTGGTTAATCTCACCAGATCTCGGACTGCTTTTAGATTTCTGCGGACTACTTTTTGTGGGCTACCTTTCTTGGGGCTGCTCTTCTGCGGGCTGCCCTTTTGAGGGCTGCAACGTTTCGGGCTGTAGTGCTCTTCACTTCTTGGCGTTACCGGCACTAGCTTCTCTAGAGTTGGAGATGGCAATAGTGCCCCTTCCTCAGAACAATCTAATTATAAAACTAGCTGTAAGTGGAATTCTGTCTTAAGGCAATTAAGGCATCGTGCCTTAAGGCAAATTGCTGGAACTTCCGTACCAAAAATTATTATTTTTTTAAAAACGATTAAGATTTTTGAAAAAAATTTACTTCGAAAAAATAGATTTTTGACAAACAATTAGACAAAAATACTTTTTTGGAAAAAAAAAATTTTTTTTTGATTTTTTTTTTTTTGAAAATATTTTTTTTCTTTATTTGATATATTTTAAAAGATCTAAACTTTTTTTCAAAGCAATTGTACTGCTTTAACTGCATAAAGACGAAATATCAAACTGCGTAATCGCCGCGTCGACGCCTAACGCGTAAACATTGGTACGGAACCCATAGGAATGTAAACCAAAATTATACTTATTGTTAAAATCTCTATAAAATATCTGATAATTTGATGTGCATATGTCTAATGATCATATTTGACCGCCAAATGGCATTTTTTTTTACTTTTTTTATTAGATCTCCGAACCGCTAGACCTGCCTTTATGAAAATTTGATCGATTCTTACCTTGTCAATACAAGTAAAATATTTTTGAATTGTTAAAATCGGACGCTCCGTTCTCTTAAAACTGAGTTACCGTTGTTGTCACTTTTTGCCCCGTATCTACGGAACGGCTAGACCTGACTTCGTCAAAAACTAATCAGCACGTCTCCTTATCAATACGAATCGAATGTTTTTTGAATTATTCAAATCGGTTGATCGGTGTTCCCGAAATCGTCGACGAAAATTTGTATCCGCACATACATACACACACGCACACACACACACACACACACACACACACACACACACACACATACATCCATTTTTTCTAAGGTATGCCAAAATATTCAGAAACCTTTGAAACGTCGAGAAATGCAATTCATTTTCGATTTTTTTGCGATTACTATAACTTGCCCTACGGAAGTTAAAAAATCAACGAAAACTGGTGCTTAATCTAATACTATTTCCTGGACTAAACTATGAAACAATTTAAGTGTTATTTTTTCATTTTTTTGACAATAATTTATTTCTTACCTATTCCTGTAGTTCTCTCAAGGTGATGACGAATTGTCTCCTTTCTAAATCTAGCATTGTCTAACATCTGGAAAAAAAACACATTTTTATTAGTTTTTTTTTATACTGATTGAACATAAGTAAATTATCTCACTTTATTATCGAGCACTGGTTTTGCGGATCCAGGAACCCGCGGTGTTTTTATGAAGGCAGCCTTCGTCGGTGAAGTTTTCTTATTATTTTCTTTATCTTTCTCTTCTTTCGTTATTGACCTATTCATAAAGGTTAAAATTAAAACTTATTTATATTTATTATTTGAATTTAATAATTCAATTGATAAAATGGTGGTCTATTTACCTATGGCTAGTAGAAGCAAGCGACAGTGCAGATAAGGAACTACGCCGCGATACTTGTTCCCAAAGCTCAATTTGTTTATTCGATATATCAGCTACTTGATCTATACTTAATTCAGTACCCCAACCGCGGCTCTAATAAAATATTAGATATTATAGAAAATCATTATAGAAAAATGATGAAATTTTAATATAATACCTTATATTCTCCCGCTTTTTTGCGTAATTCTAACACTTCTTTGTACCAAGCATCTGCTGGCGTAGACGTCTCTACCACTGCGTGCTTTTCTATGTGAACTTCTTTCTTAGGCGAATGCATGTAATCTAATTGAGATATTGGCCTAAAGTTCTTCTTGTGTTCTATTTTAGTTTCTTTCCTGTAAAGTATAGTTTTATGAAAAATTATTTTATATTTTAATAGAAAAATATAAAATGATTTTTCTAATGGTTACTCTCAAGAGCAAAATATTATGCATCAGATAGTAGAGATTAGCTCCAAATATGATCTTTGAATATGTAGGGAAATTATTTAAAATATGATGGAGAATGTATAAAGCGAACAAATATTTCATCAAAATTAGGTAACCGGATCACCAGTCCCTAGGTGATCCGCAACCTGTGTGTAGGGTGTCGACGACATCTATTGCTTCAATATTTATCACTCTGTGTTGGAATATTTTGAATTCTAATTTATTAATTAAAATTTGTAGTTTCTTAGAAGTACAATTATTGATTTTTGAATACATTTTTATTGACAATGATTGGAAAATCTTGAAGTATCTCGTTGTGGGTGGAAGGTTTAGTAGTAAGGTGACCGTACGTCACTGATTTCCACCTTGGTTTTTCTAAAAGCAATTTTTGTCTCGGATTTAGATCTTTTGTTCCGAAATGTACTGGTTTTTCGAAAATTAATAGGTAAATTAACGAAAATTACGAAAGCAAACGAACAAGTGCTATTTTTTAAAAATTAGTTATGAAGAAAATTGTATAGAATTTTATAAAAGTTTCAAAAGCGAAAAACCTAGATTGAATAATACAAGATATAATAGGAGATCATAGATAAAAAAGTATTACATGTAATCGAATAATGAAATTATTACTAAAAGTCTGCAATTCTGATTTAGAAAAAAAAATTGTGCGGGCCGGGTACTGGTACTCGATATTAGGACTGTCAGTTAACTGCGGGTGCGGGTATTTGCGGGCACTCGGTCGGACACGCTAGATGCGAAGAGCGAACGAAATTTCTTACTGTGAGCGGTTGCCAAATCAAATTTTACAATTTTTAAAGGTTTTTTATATTTATTTTGTCGAAGAAACTATTATGTGATAACTAAAGATATATTCGATATATAGGATTGTTTTCTTATAGAAATGCTAATGTTATTTATTAAAGTATCATTAACAAAATGAAATTCAGATGTATGAACAAGTTTTGATATTTATTGTAGGGTATTATGTATGTTTATTTTTCACTATTCATTAGTATTAAATTATTATATTTATTAGTTAATTAGCTTTTTGTAGATATTCTGATATTCTAAATTGTTTTATCGGACTATTTATTCGTATTTGATGATTTACTATAATTTTTTAGTTGTGTTCAAGCTTTGCATGACGTTTCTAGACCCGCTACGGAGGTCTGTTAGGGCGATATGCCATTCGACGAAAGTGTGTTAATATAAAAAACTGTATTTCTTATTATATCCTTGAATAGCATTTGTTAGTTTAAAGTCATCCCCCCGTCCCAATTTTGACTTAAAAAAATATGGTCACCTTATTAGTAGAACCACTGGGCGGATCGCTGTCTCCCCTGCGAAATACACTCCCGTACCGAAATGGTGAGATTTGAAAATTTAGTAAATCAAAAATAAAAAAAAATCAAATTGTTAACATTGCCAAATCAAAAGTCATATACAATAATACGACTTATTCTTCAATTAATAAAAACCAATTAACACTATGCCCATACATCGCTAGAGGTAGTAAATATGACAATAAGACCCACTTCAAAAATCAAAAGTAACGTTAATACTCAAGATATATCCGCCCAGTTTGTGGATAAATCATGCCACGGTCCTTCAGAAAGCTTTTCAAAAATTGTTTATCACCCCTGAGATTAAAGAAAGACGTAGAATTGCCTATTTATCTATGACAGCCAAATGATAATTTGCTCTGCATATTTCCATTCTTTTAAAAAACATCAAATATACATAAGCGCATCATGTGTGAGCGCGCTTGAAATGTTGCGCAACGCAAATCAACAAATGCCCACCATACAATATTGTACTGCGCTACATTGTCTATTATGCAAGTGATCTTACTTATTCATAGCTTGCTTTTCGTCCAGTGTGTTTGCTTCTTTTTCAGAAGCCTCCGGTTCCATAACCAACGGTTCGAGCTCATGATTGTTATCTGAAATATAGAGGCATAAATTGAAATATAAAACAAATCGATACGGCCTACTCTAGCTACATGTGACCTTTACATGGTTTATCGCGTGGTGCAGGTTTTAGTGCAGGTGTTTTATACCGCAAGGGTTTAGGAATGAACAAACAAGGAATAATGATTTGATTTTATTACTTAAAAACATTCTATGAGACAAAGAATTATCTTAACGGCAATAGCAAAAAGTACAACTCACAACTTTTTAATAACCCTATTAAAATTTCAAGTGAGAAAACAACAAACATAAGCAAGCTTTTTATGGTGTAAAGAGATACACAACGAGTTACCTTTTTCCGTGGCTTGCGTTCATTTTTATGTACTTTGCTAAATTAATTCTTATGTTTCATATTGTCGAACAAAATTCATTAGTATACGTTTCTACCATATCATACATGAGATAAATAATAAATAACTTATAATTCTAATAACATTATTGTAGGAGTGACTTATTAAGGGGCACAACTAGTGTAACCGCCTAAAAAAGGTGATTTTGGGAATTTATATTAAAAAAAAACTACTCTGTCAATCATTTCAAAATTTTAGGAATATCTTCATACATGTTTTAAGAATTCATAGTACAATTTTTGAAGAAAAAAATCAAATACTTTTTAAGTTATCGTCGATCTCCAACGGCGCGACAAAAAAGGCCCTTTACTGCTACAGTGATTCCGGCCTTCTACGTGGATGAAATTAAAAAAAAAATCTCGTTAAACTAGATAATATTGTCTGTAAAATGAACTACGAAAAAAAAAAATCAAAAATTGACAAAATGACGGTGTTTTTTTTAAAAAAAGTTGAATTTTATCCAAAATTTTGGTCGTTTTTGGGCTGCCAAAATTCAATATTTGATTCGATCAAAAGATCGATAGTTCATTTTACGGAGAACTATATATAAAACATGTAAAAATTGATAGTGATCGAATCATTTGTTTTTGAGTAATTGCTGCAGCAAATTCAGAAAATGCTGTTTCGAGAAAAACGCGTTTAAAGATTAAATGATCGTTATACTATATACTATATATATACTCTTTAAATGGCTGTGACTCAAAAACTATTTAAGATATCGATTTAAAATTTTGGTATGTTATTTTTGAAGGTATAACCTATCGAAATATGGAACAATTGAAAATTTGATTTTTTGAAAATTTCACCCTAGTTGTGCCCCTTAATACTTGATCCGATATCACAAAATCTTGTTGGGGAAAACTACTAACTTTTGTAATTGTTGTATAAATAATATATTGATGTTACAAGTTGTGCGTAAACAAACTTGTATTAAGACTTGTATTCTTAATTTTTAAAATATAAAAAATCATTTTTGGTGTAGTAGTTTTCTTCAGATATAGAAAGTGCAAAGTTGACAGTTAATATTCAACTTAAATATATGCGAGTTATTTATTAGATTAAAAGCTAATATTTTGCTTAGTTTTTAATAAACACCTGTACGGGTAGGTCGCGTTCCACATGATCGATACTTTGCGTCTCTTTGTTATATATTTATACAAAGGTCTATACTTAGCACGCATTACACATAAAGCCAAGCTCTTGGTCTAAATAATTAATACAAACGATATTAGAACAGTTTAACTATTTTTCATGGATGTTAGTAAAACTCTTACAGAAAAGAAAAACAAAATCGATGTAGCAATAATAGAAAATTAGTAGATTCTTAAGCTTATTAATTATTTCTTGTATCGCTAAGGAACAGTTCAACTCACTTGTACTTTAATCACAATTTTGAGAATATTTTAAATTTTACATAAAAATTTATCGATTTTAGTATTTGTTGTTATAGTAGTCAATTTTAGGTATAACATATTTAAATTTCAAGGCTGTAAAATAAATATAAGGCTTGTAATAAAATTTAAAATATATTCAAATATATTCTATTTCTAGTACATTCAATTCTAGTGCATTTAATTAGGCAATAATTTATAAGTTTTGACTTGCTTGAATTCGATAACAATGATTATAATTTTTAATTATCCATAATATGTTTAGGTATCTATTTATTGGCGCATTTGTTAAAATATGATATTTTGTTAATTTATATTATAAACACCGCATTTTGGATTACTATTAATAGCAATTACTGTAAAAGATTTTAATATATATGGCACACTCGCAAGAAAAGTGACACACGTCAAAGAGTTAAATTTTGAGTAGAGCAAGAATAAAAAACTTAGAGTTTTAAATGAGATGCTGAATGCTACCTTAAATTAAAACTAATTAATTTAAGGGGCACAACTAGTGTAACCGCCTAAAAAAAAGGTGATATTTGGGAATTTATATTAAAAAAACTACTTTATCAATCATTTCAAAATTTTAGGAATATATTTATACACGTTTTAAGAATACATAGCAAAATTTTTGAAGAAAAAAATTAAATATTTTTTAAGTTATCGTCTATCTTCAACGGCGCGACAAAAAAAGGCCCTTAACTGCTGCAGTGATTCCGGCCTTCTACGTGAATGAAATAAAAAAAAAAATCTCGTTAAACTAGATAATATTGTCTGTAAAATGAACTACGATGAAAAAAATAAATCAAAAATTGACAAAATGGCGGCGTTTTAAAAAAAAAGTCGAATTTTACCCAAAATTTTGGTCGTTTTTCGACTACCAAAATTCGATTTTTGATCCGATCAAAAAATCGATAGTTCATTTTACGGAGAACTATATAAAGAACATGTAAAAAAAATTTGATAGTGATCGGATCATTCGTTTTTGAGTAATCACTGCAGCAAATTCGGAAAATGCTGTTTCGAGAAAAACGCGTTTAAAGATAAAATGATCGTTGTACTATATACTATATATATACTTTTTAAATGGCTGTAACTCAAAAACTATTTGAGATATCGATTTGAAATTTTTATATATTATTTTTAAAGGTGTAATCTACCGAAATATGAAAAAAAAAACAAAAATCGATTTTTTCGAAATTTCACACTAGTTGTGCCCCTTAAACACATTCGGTTTTTTTTAGTATTGTGTTGGATTTGGATTTTACATTATAACTCGATCCTATTTTGACTTGTGCCAGTTTTCTATATTTTTGTTATTTAGTTTAATTTTAAAAAAAGTAACTTACAATTTTCAGGGTTCAAAAATAATCAAATTGGAATATAATGCGCACAAAAAGTGGCATCTGAAAATTTTTGAGACTGTTCTAGAGAGTATGCTTAAATTTGAAAGTACGAGCTTATGAGAGTGGTCAGCTGACTGGCCTTTTTATGCCAATGCTGTAATTTGAGTAAGTTATTATTCATTTTAATAACAAAATGAAAAATACAATAGTTCTCTTCTCTATATCATGAAATATAATTATATAATCAGAATAGACAAAAGTCACGTGGTGGGACATGACGTAACAACGGTGCAACAAGAGCGTTTTCAATTTGGTGAAAACACGTTTATGTGAAATTTGTCGGTAAAATGTAGTAACATCTCAAAACACGATTTGCGAGATCATAATTTTGTTCGATATTATGGTATAGCTGTCTTAATAAATCCACTTCTCACCTTCCTTCGTGGTTTCGAGATCGGTGCGTTTTCGGTGTACTGCAGCGGGACCCACACCATTGGCAGTAGGTTTGATGGCGCCCATCGAGAGCGACTTGCGGGGCGGCGCTGCGTCGTGACCGGCTCCCTTTTCTTTGATGCGTTTGCTGGGCGGCCAGGCGAACTGTAACCGGTATTCAGTACTGAACTTGGAAATGGCCTTGCTGAACAAGCCGCCTCCCCCAGCTGCGGCACGGTTACTTGGTGCTACGGCATCCTGTATGAAATAAATTGAAAGCCCGATGTCCCAGAAGACACTCAGTGATTCACTCGTTTATTTATAATAATGTCGCTATTAGCTTTAATATTATACAAACGTACTGCTAGCACTGATTTTAACATGACATAAATTTATTCGATTCTCAGAACGAAACATACTATTGTAAAGATTCCAAATAATCGAGGAAAAACGTGCTCAATAAATGTTCCTTAGCATTATTCAATGATTAATGGATTGTGAAATCGAATGGTAATAAACATTTCCAGTATATATATACATACATATATATATATATATATTAGGGTGGTCCTTAATATGGACATTTTCGAATTTCCTTGCTTCCAAGAGCTCAAATGGTTCCAAATTGATAAAAAACAATTCTCTTAAAGTTTTAGCTCTTAATATTAACTTTTAGATAGTGCGCAATTCAATTAAACTTCGTATGGAAATAGCATGGAAAAATTTTTGAAAATTAAAAAAAAATTTTTAGGTATAACTTAGCGACAAATGTATTAAAAGTAAAAATTCGTGTCATTTTTTATTGAAAATTTTACGTACTGCAAAATTTTTGAAATTTTTTTAATGCTATTTCCGTACAAAACTTTGATTGAATTGCGCTCTATCTAAAAGACAATATTAAGAGCTAAAACTTTCAGAGAATTGATTATCAATTTGGAACCATTTGAGCCCTTGGGAGCAAGTAAATGTCCATATTAAAGATCACCCTAACATATATATATATATATATATATATATATATATATATATATATTATGTATATATATACAGTAAAATCCGCTTAGTATGACATCGAAGGGACCCAAAAACTTGTCGTAATAAGCGGACGTCATACCATTCCGAAAAAAAACTATTTTCTGTAACTATGTGTGTACAGTAAAAGTCCATTAGTCCGGCAGGCCCGTAACCGGTCAAGATGCCAGACTGTTAAAATTCCGGACTATCGGTCGGTAATCATAATTATTTTTATAATTAGGTTAATAATAAAACCACAAAAACAGTACAAAGTGGTGAAAACAGCTTTTAAAGGGGGCGGCAGTCATTAGCACAAGGCAAAACAGTTAAGCTCTCTTTGTTTTTCTTAAAAACCATGGCTATTTTTTTACCTCCCCCAGTTGAAGAGGTGTAAAAACATGTCGATCATTATAACCAGGCATAATTTTTGTTAAAAATGGGTCATTATAAGCGATATGTCAATGTAAGAAAAGCAAGTATATACGACTGTTTTATAAGAATTTTATGTGAAATCAAAGTAGTATGTTTACGTCAAATACGCGTTTGGTCAATATATCCGGACCGGACATACTAAACCGATTCTATTTCGTTTTAACTATAATAAGTATGTTTTTATAATTTCGTTCGTAATGCATTTTATAATTAATATTTTATTTATAATTATATTTAATAATATGATAAATACAGTAAACATTATTAACAGTTGTCTTTATTTGTCATTTGTTACTTTTGTCCCTAAAATAATTTTTATTATAAAGAGAATTTTTATAAACAATTGTAAATCGTGTCTGTCATCAAATTTTGTTTCATTCTCGGTTTGTTTGTGTTATTAGTAACATGTTTGAAATTTGTGGTTGAATGTGTTACCAGTGATTCTTATTACCCCTAACATGTGCCTGATGGCGAAGATGCACAGAACAACCGTTCGCGATATAACATATCAAGCAAAACTTAAATTTATACCATTTTCCATAACAGTAGAAAAAGTCACTCGTTGAAATATTATGAATGCAGCATCAGCAATCGCAATATCGCATATACTGTTCAGTCAGCTATATTATAATAGATTATTAATAGACTTGATCTGTTTTTTTAAATATTAAATTATTATAAATAATCTGATTCTGAAAAATGACGCATGTTTTCATGTAATTCAATATAAATTTATTTCATCATTTTATTCGCTTTCGTGCAAAAATCTTTTAATATAACGATATAATTTTCTTCTACATCAAAACACACGCGACAAACGTTAACCTTCATTATCATAAGTCGTATCTTCTACGAAAAGCCTCGTACGATCTCCGAGAGAGCTTTATGCAAAAGCGAGTCAATCCAGCAGGATACGAAGACTCCCAATTACTGATTCAATGCACGAATCAAACTCTGATAGTCCAATTAGAATAGTGCGTATTTGATTGACGGTTTATGATGGATCGGTTTTGAATGGGGTATGATTTGGTTAATAATTGAGGAAATGGATAGATAAGTTGTATCAATAGTAAATGATAAAATTATCAACAATTTTGTGATTTTTTTATTCGCCCTATAAATGTATCAATTGAAAATTTTATGCATAATTTAGAAAAATGGGGTAAATCATAACGATACTAAATAAATAAATAGCACAATTTTATTCGTGCTATTGTTATCGCTTACTTTATATACTTTAGATCAAAAAGTTTATTGCATGTTTATGTGAAACGAAATAAATTTGGGTACCTATTAAAACTATTTCAAAGGTGCTTTAAAATTGCACAATATGCAACAATTTATTTGAGTTTAGAATTAACCCTCCGTCGGTCGGCGTGGTCTGGCCAGACTTTTTTCGACTTCAATTAAAAAAAAAGTACTTCTAGTAATCCTATCGACTTGAAATTTCTTGACTTTTCCTAAAATTTCATTACCTGTCGATCAATGAAAAAATCAGGACGAAAAAATGTACAGAAGGATAATTATAAGGATATTAACTCTTTTATACTTCGAACGGTCGAAGTGGTCTGTCTAGACCACCCATACATTTTGTATGAAATATACGCTTTTGATATATGTAAACCAGTATTTTTGTCTTTTTTCATGGTATTTTCTATTCAAACTGCGTTGTTAATATTCTTTGCTATGTGTTCTAACATGAATGTTAGTATTTTCATGACGAGAGTTCCTTGAAAACCTACCGAACTTATTGGTCATCGCAAACATTGAAAATCGGATGAGTAATGCATACATTATCAACAATTTTTCTATCCGTAGTGCGTTCGAAATTTTTTTTGGCAAACCTGTAGTGAAATTATATTTTCTACTTGAATTTTACAGCTCATTTCAAAGGCGACGCACCTCATTTCATTTTCATTTGAATTTCACATTCATTTCGAAGGAGCCCAAAAGGAATAAATATTGTTTTTCATTGATATGAAACAGAAAAATAAAAATAATAAAAAAGCAACCATTTTTTTATATTCTTTGATTTTTTTATATATAATATGATCTATAATTTTTTTTATTAAGCAAGCTCAACACATGCAAAAGACGGTAAAAAAGAAAAAATCTAAACTATAAATATTTACCATTAATAATCGTTAATATAAGACACCAAAACTCATTTATCTCATATAAATGCGTGTAAATGAATGGTGTCCAGCCAGACCACTCGACCGTTCGAAGGTGAAAAAATATCCGACCGACGGAGGGTTAATAAATAAAATTAAAGTTGAATTTTTCAATAAAAATTGTTTTATCGAAATCTTGCGCTTAATCGCTGCCAGCGGTATCTCAATCACAAAGCTTGCATAAATGTTGAAATATAAGCAACCTGCAACCAAGCGCTATGAAAAAAAACGTATATACTGTCTGTGACTTTTTCACATGGTACATGCTTCGTTCGAGAATCCACCAGCTACAATTGATCGAAGCCTTTCGTTATTTGTTCTGAAACCAGCCTAAATATCATTCTTTGAAAGAGAACTATAAATCAAAAACGATGATGCGATTGCCGAGCGCGCCTAAGTCGCGGATATCGATTGCGTACCATGATAACGATCAAGTCGTCGTGCTGCGCGTCATGTTGCGGCGGCGGCGTGTGGGTCGCCTGGCGTCGATGGTGCTGGGGGCTCGCCGAAAGTCCATCATTGCAGGAGGACCTTCCGATTTGCTGCGGCGAGACGGCCTCGAAGCCCCAAACGCCGATCTCTCCTCCGACTGCAAACAAACGAATACATCGTCCTGCGAAGTTCCGGCGTTATGTCCAAATTCCAATATCCATGCTGATCACGATATCGAATACGACAGGCGCGCGAACTACACTCACTCAGAAACGATACAGCACGCATATACTGGTGCTGATATTTACTTTTTCGAATAGCAAGGATTTTCTTCAAAGTACATAGGCAAACACTAATGTTCAAATACTCTTTCGATTCACCTAGTATGACAAAACATTAACCTACTGTGATATCTTCATGCAAAGTCGTATCAAAAAGCTTACTGCTAAAATTATTTTTTCTTATTTGAATATCACAGTAGAGTAATGAAAAGACATTAACACGCATGCTAAATCGTGCTTATCAGGACGGACTATAAGAAGCAGTTGGATGATAGATGATTGATGAAATCAATACTTTGCTATCGGTTAACCCGGGTTCACACAGGGACCGAAAGCATGCGAAAAAGTGGACCAAAAAATAGAGGATTTTCAATGCTATTCACTTAAGAGAGTATAAAACGAACATGCCAAGTACAAAAATAATATAGCAGAATATATAAGATACAAACGTCTAAGTACATATTTTTTATATGCATACTGTTACTTTATAGATTACATTAATTAAATAATTAACATACAAGCGAAAGGATTTTGTTGTTCTGTGTATTTTCTCACCGGCAACTCATTAATAGATTAGGCTAAGGCAGTTAAATTATTATCACTCACAAAAACTTTTATTGATGTCAAATAGTAAGGCGTTACTCATAACTATATACTAGCAAACCATAAATACAATATATATATATATATATATATATATTATATATATATATATATATATCAGATATCAATAGGATCAGAAAAATATATTTTACATTTAATTACATTGACACAACACATTAGTATTAAACATTGCAATATTTGCAAAAGCATTTATAGGCCTTTTCACACAATTATAGTTTACTATTATATATTCATAATTGACATTAGAAATTTAAATGCGTGTCGTTTAAATAGTATCTGAAGCATATAGTATACGTGTGTTAGTTTATACTAATTAGTATAAGCGATATAGCCTTACATTACAATTTATGTGGGACATCTGTCAGTTACGCATTTTCTGTCCATCTACGTGAAATATAAATGTCTAGTTCGGTTTTCATATAACATGCAATTACCTACTAAAATAATAATAAATACTCATTGTTCTCTAAATATGACGTCTATTGTATGTACTGGATTAATAACAATAAGTGCCCTGCTTTGAAAGAATTAATTGATATATTGTTT